AACCTAATATGTTTGTTATCACTGGTGATGCCCCCTGTGCACACAGTAGCGAGCACATTTCCTCCGGAGCAGGCATCTGTGATGCTTAGGGTATTCATGTGAAGGCACACACCTTTAATACCAGGCAGAGGCAAGCACATCTCTGTGGGTTCAAGGCCAGCTTGGCCTACTTAGCGAGGCCCTGTCCTAAAAGAAAAGAAAATGCACTTTTTTTTGTTTTTGTTTTTTTTAACTTCTGGAATTAGCAACAGGAATGCTGTCAGTTTTTGCATTCATCTGCTTCACGGTGGAACATAGCTGAATCTTTGACACGATTGGTTCTGTAGTAGCGTCCACAGCGCCACATCTGGCCCAAGCGTCAACTTGTAGCCAAGAGTCTCAGCAGAGCAGAACATGCGTGATTTGAAGAGATGATGGGACGGTGTTGGCGCACACCTCTAACCCAGCATTTGTGAGGCAGAGGCTGATCTGGCCAAGATAGGTGTTACATTCACCCCGAGTTCTGGGACTTCAGGTGTGTGAGACCACGTGCCCACTCCATCCCCTTTGAGGCAGGGTCTCATTTTGTAACCCAGGCCACCCTGGAGATCACTATATGTAGTCCACTATATGTTGATTTTGTTGCTATCCTCCTGCCTCAGGCTTCTGAGGGCTGAGCTTGTGTGACCCACCACACTTGGCTCTAGCATACCCTTAACAGTACATGGTTTTGATTACTATTCACCTAATTTGTTGTTGGTGGTGGGGATAGGGTCTCAGGTAGCTCAGGTTAGCTTTAATTTCTTTCTTTCTTTTGTTTTGGTTTTTCTTTTATTTTTATTTTGTTTTCAAGACAAGGTTTCTCTGTAGCTTTGGAGCCTGTTCTGAAACTAGTTCTTGTAAACTAGGGCGGCCTTGAACTCACAGAGATCCACCAGCCTCTGCCTCCCAAGTGCTGGGATTAAAAGCATGCACCAGCTGCCAGGTGAGAGATGGTCTTACTAAGTAATACAGGATAGACTTCAAATTGTGGCAATCCTCCTGCCTCCTCCACTTCCCTCCTCTTCCTCCTCTTCTTTTCCTTCTTCTTCTTCTTGTTTTGAGACAGGGTTTCTTTTTTTCTTTTTTTTTTTTTTTTGGTTTTTCGAGACAGGGTTTCTCTGTGGTTTTGGAGCCTGTCCTGGAACTAGCTCTTGTAGACCAGGCTGGTCTCGAACTCACAGAGATCCGCCTGCCTCTGCCTCCCGAGTGCTGGGATTAAAGGCATGCGCCACCACCGCCCGGCCTGAGACAGGGTTTCTCTGTGTAACAGTTCTGGCTGTCCTGGAATTTACTTTATAGACCAGGAAGTCCTCAAACTCAGAGATCCGCCTGCCTCTGCCTCCCGAGTGCTGGGATTAAAGGCGTGCGCCACCACCGCCCGGCTCTGCCTCTGCTTCCTGAGTGCCAGGATTACACGCATGTGTCACCACTCTCAGTTATTTTTCTCTGGGTTTTGGTAATTGTTAAAGAAAAACCGAAACCTGCCCCAGGAAAAGACAAGATGTAGACGTAATCCACCCACCTAAGAATGACGAGCGTAGAGCGCCCCCCTTAGGTGGTGACTAATAACGGCTTTTCTTTTTCTGGATTTGCCAAGCGGGAGGAAAAGTACCATCGGAAATGGGGAGGGATTGCAAGGACAATGCAATCAACACGAAACACATGAGCTGGGGTTCAGGCGTAGAGTGATGAGGTAAGCCCGGGTGTGATCCCGCGCACTGCAGTCAGAGCCTCGGTAAATACAATACTGTATCTGGGCTTCCGCCCTCTCCCACCACCTTGTCCTTCACTAACTTGCTGAGTGACTTTCTGCAAGTTACTTAACTTCTCTGGGTTTCGATTCCCTCTTCAGTGAATTAAGCAATCCAGAGGACATCATCTCCTAATCCTACAGTAATGCTTATTCAGGAACTTGTTATTATACTCTTATTATTAAAAATGAAGGCGGGCGGTGGTGGTGCATGCCTTTAATCCCAGCATTCTGGAGGCAGAGGCAGGTGGATCTCTGTGAGTTCGAGGCCAGCCTGGTCTACAGAGTGAGCTCCAGGACAGCTCCAAAGCTACAGAGAAACGCTGTTTTGAAAAACAAAAACAAAATAATAATAATAGATCTATGAGCCGTAGTTTCTGCAGAGACTTCACACTTGGGGACTTAAAAGAAAAATCAGCAGCCAGTTCTTTGGATTTAAGCATAAGAATAAGCCATTCGGGGCTGGAGAGATGGCTCAGTGGTTAAGAGCACTGGTTGCTCTTCCAAAGGTCCTGAGTTCAATTCCCAGCAACCACATGGTGGCTCACAGCCATCTGTAATGGGGTCTGGTGCCCTCTTCTGGCCTGCAGGCATACACACAGACAGAATATTGTATACATAATAAATAAATATAAAAAAAAAGAATAAGCCATTCATTAGCATTTGTATTTGTCCTTTTGGAATAGCTCGTCTTCAAACAGCTCTAGTGGCTAAACAATTGACTTGGCCTGTTTAGGAAATAAATACCAGTTTGTCAGCTCTGTAAGCTGACAAATTGGCTTCCCTTGTGAAGTTACACAGACCTAAATGAAAAAAAAAAAAAAAGCATGTGTCATCCAGGAACACTAACAGTTTCCGTTTCCTCCACCCTCTCTACCCTGCAGGCATTTGAAAGGAACTTTCACTCCCCTCCCCGCTTCTTCTTTTCCTTTTCTTTCTTTTTTTTTTAAATTTTTTAAAAAAGATTTATTTTATGTATCCGAATGCTCTATCTCATGTGTGCCTACACACCAGAAGAGGGCATCAGATTTCACTCCAGATGGTTGTGAGCCACCATGTGGTTGCTGGAAATTGAACTCAGGACTTCTTGGAAGAACAGCCTGTGTTCTTAAACTCTGAGCAATCTCTCCAGCCCCTCCTTTTCTCTCTCTCTCTCTTTCTGTCTTTCTTTGGTTTTTGGAGACAAAGTTTCTCTGTAACTTTGGAGCCTGTCCTGAAACTAGCTTTTCTAGACCAGGCCTCAAACTCACAGAGCTCTGCCTGCCTCTGCCCCCCAAGTGCTGGATTAAAGGTGTGCGCCACGACCACTGTCCAGCCTCCTTTTCTATTTATAGTTTTTTCGAGACAAGGTTTCTCTGCGTTGCCCTGGCTGTCCTAGGAGCCAGGCTGACGTTGAATTCCAGAGATTCACCTGCCTATGCTGGGATTAAAGGCCCAAATTACCACACACACATACACACACACACCTGCTCCCCGTTTCTTTTCAGAGAAGCTCTCACTATGGAGAGCGGAACTGGACTGGAACTTGCTGTACAGACCAAGCTGGCCTCAGACCCATAGAGAGTCATCTCCCCAGTGTCCCAGAGCTAGTATTAAAGGTGTCGTCAACAAGCACACCCTGCTTCTCTCTTTCAAAAGAGTTTTAAATTTTACTTAAGTATTTGTTCCCTGATGCAAGTATGGAACCTGTTTTCTTCTCCACCATGTAAGGGATCAAACTGTCGCCACATGGCAGCTCACAGCAGTCTGTAACTCCAATCCCAGGGGTTCTGACACCCTCACACCAATGCACATAAAAAAATTAAAGCAAAACAACAGCACGAACAACAACAGGGGCTGGAGAGATGGCTCAGAGGTTAAGGGCATCGCCTGCTCTTCCAGAGGTCCTGAGTTCAATTCCCAGCAACCACATGGTGGCTCACAACCATCTGTAATGAGATCTGGTGCCTTCTTCTGGCCTGTAGGCATACACACACAGAAAATATTGTATACATAATAAATAAAATATTTTTTTAAAAAAGAACAACAACAAACGTATATCACAAACAAAAGAAAACGATTTTGAAGCATATTGAACAGAGAACAGGTCAGCGGACAGCATTACACCCCCAGCGATGGACATTTTGTTGGTTGGTTGTGTGTGATGCATGTGTGCGAGGTGCGAGTGTGAACCCACTGGCAAGCTAGAAGGCAGCTTCGTGGGGTGGGTTCTCCCCTTCCACCTTAACAAAGGGTGCCAGGGATCGAACTCAGGTTTCCAGCCTCGTAAAGAAAGCACGTTTACCCCAGGCCCATCTCGGCATTCCTGTTGTTTTGTTATTTTTGGTGTGGTTGTTAGACAGAGGGACGCTCTGGCTGTCCTGTAACTAGCTTATGTAGACCAGGCTGACTTTGAACGCCTCCCGAGTGCCAGGACCAAGGCAGGTGTCACTCTGCTCTTGTTTTCTGAGACTGGGTCTCAGCACGTAGCCCAGATTGGCCTGGAGCTTGTGATTTTCCTCCTTCAGGCATGAGTCACTATATCCAGCCCGTGGAGGTCATGTCATAAAACCAAATGCCTAAATGTGAGGCTATGACCCTGTATTTTCCCAAACAGGAAAGGTCTTCCAGAAAAGAGAACCAGAGTGTAATATAACTCATTCCTTACTCACGCCCTGGCCCTTCGTATTGGTCTACCGTGATGCTTCTCCGCAATTTACCAGTGTATCTATGAAAACCACTAGATAAAGACTGAGTTCTCCCTTAGACCTTAATGTACTGGAAACAAGGTGTCTGGGCCAGCCACTGAGTTCAGACGGAGCCCAGGTTTCAGGACTGGTAAACGTTAATGAGGCAAGGGAACAGTATGGTGTAGTTTGTTCTTTAACAAAGCTTCCTCAAACTGTCTGCCAGCCGGCTTACTTTCTCTGGTGATGTACAAGTTACTACCATCTCAGGAAGAAGTTGGCTCACAAGCTTGCTTGCTTGGAGGCAATGCTCTAGGCAGACTTTAGCAACCATGCGCAGACTGTACTGGTAAGGAGGCAGGTAACTACTACACCGTTGGCAGCATAATTACACTTGAAACATTCTCGATTGGAACCGTTTAGGGCCTCCCTAACTCGCTTCTTGTACTCCGATGGTTCCAGTTTCAAGGAAGAGCTCTCCTCCCACCACACTGTAAAAACGCTGGTATTAGTTAAGAGTGGTCAGACTACAATTACCACAAGACATCGCGGGTCCTTAGCATCCGGGACACGGTCCGCAAAGATCCCTGGGTATTGTGGTCTTGTGCTTCGGCAGCGACCCTGTGCCAACGGTAAAATTTCAGCCGAAAGGAGGACCACAACTCCCAGCAACCTTTGCTGCCGTGCGGGGGGTCTTCACGTTCTCGTGGCGCGGCGCAGGCGCTGTGGGTCCTCGGCGCGGACCGCGCAGACTGAATAATAAAAGGGGAGAGGCGAAGAGGCAGGAAGACAGGACCATGTCGAAGGGCCCGGGGCCCGGCGGCTCGGCAGCTTCCTCGGCGCCCCCGGCCGCTACCGCTCAGGTGCTGCAGGCACAGCCCGAGAAACCGCAGCACTACACGTACGTAGAGCCCCCCCCCCGCCGCGCGCGCACGCCTGACGTCAGCGGCCAGCGTGAGTCACGCGCGCAGGGAGAGCGCGAGGCTGTCTCTCCCTCCCCCCCCTTCCTTCTTCAGCTTGGCCCAGACCGGTTCCAACCTGCTAGGGCCGGTCCCAGCTTCCTCAACTGTCACCAACCTCTGGTCGGGCCGTGGGGCGGGAAACTCGGTCCCAACCTCCGAGTTGGGAAGGCAGGAACTCGGTCCCGAGTACACACTTCCCAGGGTAGGCCTTGGAGGCCCGAGTGTTCCTCAGACCGTAAAACCACAGGACCAGGCTCTTGGCGAGCGAGGAGCCCACGACATGACAAGTTGAGTTCTGTAGCAGCCAGCCCTAGACCTGTCTAGAAACGACGACTCGCTTGCAGTCGTCTGTGCGCCCGAGGAGCTCCTTTGTAGCTCAGAGGCCCGTTGGTTGTCCACGAGGATCACCCACGCTTGAGTTCCCTTAAGCAGTCAGACGTGCAGACACGAAACCACTCTTCGCAGGCAGTACTGTCCGGCCTGTGAGCGAGCCACCCCCGGGGTGCTGTACGATTGCAGGCCCCTTCAGAATCTGGCAGGAGAGGGAGCCTCAGAAAAGCCCTGCCAAGCTGCATGTGTATCAGCCTAGGTCCCTGCCTTCATTGCTGTCACGGCACAGTAGGCCTAGGTGCTGTGGGACAAAGGCCAGCGATGCGCTTCCCCTTGTAAAACGTTGGTTTCCATTCCCAGCCGGGTCAGGAGTGCCTCTCACTCCCTTCAGGTGCCTGGGCGGCGTAGGTATTTTCAGGATCCCAACCCACGGAGAGTTCAGAATCTGAGCGGTTGAGCAGCACTCAAGTTGAGTAAGCCAGGAAGCAACTGTTGGGATACAGAGAACTAAAGGCAGGCAGGGGGAGCTTGGCTTGACAAGGCCTTTTGGGAGATGGACCTGGGAACATCGGTTATAGGAAATGTATTGGTTTTCGAGGGACTCTATGATATTGGCTGGCGGCTAAGCTTGACTGCAGTGTGACTCAGTTGGTCCTTTCTTACTGGAGTTCTCTGCATCCTTGTGGTCGCTTTTGGTTAAGAAGTCACTGACTTACCTGGCCACACAGCAATGTGGTCTCGATTTGCAAATCTGTAAACTTAATTGGGACCTATTTTGTATTACACTTATTTATTTATATGTACATATGTATGGGAACACGCTTGCATGCGCAGGTGTGGAAGTCAAACGGTCCGAGGGCATTGGTTCTCTCCTTTCACCATGTGGTTCTGGGGTCCAACTCCGATGGCCAAGCTTGGCAGCTAGTGCCTTCCCAACTCTGTGCCATCCCACGCGTGGGGGAAGGGCTCTACCATTGAGCTGTAGTTCACAAACCCACTTATTATTTCTTTAGTTACCACTTTCCTACTGCCTTAGACTCCTGAGTTAACTGGGATTACAAATCTGCCACAGGGTCTCGTTATGGAACTTTTTAATGATCTTTGATTGCTTGGATCATGGTTTTCAGTACAATTACCAAACAAACTTAAATAAATCTTAGTTTCTTTTTGTGGATATGTGTGTGTGTGTGTTGTGCGCGCGCATGTGTGCGTGCGTGTGCAATTGGAGATCAGGTCAGATGTCTTGTGAGATAGGATCTTTATAGGCAGGAGAGATGGCTTAGTCAGTAAGAGAGCACTGACTGTTCCTCTTGCGTCCCTGGTTCAATTCCTAACACTCACATGGTGGCTCATAGCTGTCTGTAACTATAATCTCATGGGGATCCCATGCCTTCTTCTGGTGTGCAGACGTACAATAGACAAGACACCTGTGTGCATAAAATAAATCTTGAAAAAGAAAAGATTCTTTTACTGAACCTGAAGCTTGGCCAGGTTGGCTGCCCAGTGAGCTCCTGGGGGCCCACTTCCTCCGACCTCCCAACACTGGGGTTAGGAGCATGTGTGGCCCATGCCTGGCTTTTTACATGGTGATGAAGATTCGTACTCAGGTCCTCAGTCTTGTGGAGCAGACACTCAGCCCACAGAGCCATCTCCAAGGCCATCTTATTTATTTATTTAAGGATAAGGTCTTGCTGTGTAGCTTTGGCAAGCCTGGAACTTATTGTGTTGCTTATATTGACCCCCCCCCCCCCCCCAAATCGGGGATCTTTTTCCTCTACCTCATTCTCCAGCATTCTGGGATTACAGGATTTGGCTACCATAAATAGCTGCTGTCTGTTCTACTGTTGTCATTGAGATCCCGTGAAGTTACATTAGAATGGGTTCTGACAGATGAAAGGAGCGAGCACAGTGTAGTTGTCAGTGTCTGAATTACTTGTTTGCTTTCTCTGTGTAGCCTTGGCTGTCCTGGAACTCACTCTGTAGACCAGGCTGGCTTTGAGTTCACAGACATCTGCCTGCCTCTGCCTCCCGAGAGCTGGATTAAAGTTGTGTGCGGTTATGTCCAATTTAGCATCTGAGTTTTTTTTCTTTTTTTGAGACAGGGTTTCTCTGTGTAGCCCTGGCTGTCCTGGAATTCCCTCTGTAGTCCAGGCTGGCCTCGAACTCACAAAGATCCACCTGCTTCTGCCTCCTGATTACTGGGATTAAAGGGGTTCACCACTACCTCCCAGCATATCTTGAGGTTTGTTTGTTTGTTTTTGGTTTTTCGAGACAGGGTTTCTCTGTAGCTTTGGTGCCTGTCCCGGAACTAGTAGACTAGGCTGGCCTCGAACTCCCAGAGATCCGCCTGCCTCTGCCTCCCCAGTGCTGGGATTAAAGGCGTGCGCCACCACTGCCGGGCTCATATCTTGAGTTTTTAAGCAATTGTGTTTTTATGCGTCTAATTTTGTCCACGTGTGTGTCTGTGCAGCAGGAGCATATCTGGTGCCCTTAAAGGCCAGAAGTGGCATCAGGTCCCCTGGAACTGGAATTACAGATGGTTGTGAGCTGCCATGTGGGTGCTGGGAATTAAACCAAGGTTCTCTTCAAGAACATCAGTGCTGGGGGCTGGAGAGATGGCTCAGAGGTTAAGAGCATTGCCTGCTCTTCCAAAGGTTCTGAGTTCAATTCCCAGCAACCACATGGTGGCTCACAACCATCTGTAATGAGATCTGGTGCCCTCTTCTGGCCTGCAGACATACACACAGACAGAATATTGTAAACATAATAAATAAATAAAATATTAAAAAAAAAGAACATCAGTGCTTTTAGCTGCTAAGCCATCTCTCCAGTCCTAATATCTGAATTTTTGCCCTTTTTGATTCTTGTTTGACATTTGTTTTTCTATTCTTTGAAGCTTGTTGTGTAGTCTTGGAGCTTGGCTCCTAAGTCATTTTTATTTATTTATTAGAACATTTACTTTGTGTGTGTGTGTGTGTGTGTGTGTTATAAGGACGATGTGTGGGAATTAGCCTTTCTTTTCTCCAGATGAGTCCCAGGAATCAGATTTGGTAGGTGTAGTGGTGGTGTTTGCCTTTAATCCCAGCACTCAGGCATGCAGATCTCCTGAGTTCCAGGACAGGCAGTACTACACAGAGTACCCTGTGTCAAAACTAAAAGAAAAAAACAGAAACAAAAGGCAATTAGTTGAGGGGCCGGTGAGATGGCTCAGTGGGTACATCTGTGCCTGACAACCTGAGTTAATCCTCACAACTCAGAAACCCGCATGAAGGTGGGAGGAGAAAAATCAACTCTGCCAGGTTATTCTCTGATCTCCAACGCATGCATGTGCTCACGCACACACAGATATAAATTTAAGCAGTTTGTTTGAAAGGACAATAGGAAGGTATCTTTGTTTTGTTTTGTTTTTGAGACAGGGTCTTACTATGTAGCTCTGGCTGTTCTGGAACTCACTTTGTAGACCAGACTGGCCTCAAACTCGCAGAAATCTGCCTGCCTCTGCCTCCCAAGTGCTAGGATTAGGTGTGCCACTATGAGGTTAATGTTTAAAATATTGGTTTGTTTTGTTATTTTTGCCCCTGTAAGAGGAATTACGCTTCAAAGTATATCTTTTTTGGAGTCCTTCAACTTTGCTTGATTCTCAAACTTGTTAATGCTTCTTTTTCTTTTTTAATTTATTATGTATAGTGTTCTGCCTGCATGAATGCCTGTACGCCAGAAGAGGGCACCAGATCTCATTCTAGGTAGTTGTGAGCCTCCATGTGGTTGCTGGGAATCGAACTCAGCATCTCTGGGAGAGCAGCCAGTGCTCTTAATCCCCAGCCATCTCTCCAGCCTTGTTAATGGTCTTGATACAGGAAAATTAAGCTCTAGTTATTGAAAAGGTTGTGGGGTGATTCTATCTATCATCTGTCTGTCTGTCTGTCTCTCTGTCCATCTAATCTTCCATCTATCCATCCATCCTTCCATCATTTTTGAAACAGGGTCGCACTATGTAGCCCTGGTTTGCCTGGAATTTGCTTTATAGACCAGCCTGGCCTTGAATTTAGATCTCCTTGCCAGTGCTGGGATTAAAGGCATGCACTACCACATTTGCCCTGTAGGTTAGTTTTTAGACAAGGTATGCTCTCTCTATATAAAATATAATCCTGTATATATAGGCATCCTGTGAATTTATAACTTGTTTCTTTCTTTTTCTTTTTCCTCTTTAAAACAGCTGGTCTGGAAGTCACTCTGTAGACCAGGCTGGCCTCAAACTCAAAGAGCTCTGTCTGCCTCTGCCTCCCGAGTGCTGGGTTTAAAGGCATTCATCACTGCCACCAACTGAACTTGTTTCTTTTTTTGTTGTTGTTGTTGTACTTATAACTTTATATTTGTTTCATGTGTAGCTGTGGAGGTCCAGGGACAGTTTGTAAGAGTGGGTTTTCTCCTTCTTCCATTTGGGTTTTAGAGACTGAATTTTTAGTTGGTAGAATGAGTGTCTAGCATGCATAGAAAGGGAGGGGGCAAATTTGTAGTCCTAGTACCCAGAAGGTAGGCAAGCAGATCAGAAGTTCAAAGTCATCCTGTCAGTTCAAGGCCAGCCTGGGTTACAGAGACTGGAGAGAGA